AACTGACTCATGATCTTAACCATTGAAATTACTATAATATCCACAAAACCCGTCTGATAATGACATTTATTCAACAAGAAAATGTATGAAATTTCACACAGTAGATAACTATTCTGTTTAGTTTCACAAATTCACTATTCTATGTACACATACAAACTTAACTACTTACAAATACCTATCCATAAGTAGTATATTGCAATGATACTCATAGATCTATCATACAAGAAGAAGGTGTTGATTTCATCAATCCATCTATTCGTTAATTCGTTCTTCACCCCAAAATACATTGGTACATCCGAAGAGGAGGAGAGTTAGCTCTCCTTCTCGAAATGCTGTCTTAGGGCCATGCATACACAGCCACTACCACGGAAGTCTAACTCACTGCATTCTCATGGAGAAGGTGTTGTTTACGAAATTGAGAAAACGGAAAACGAATGTCCGGCACTGTCATTGCGTCGGACGTCATGGAGGGTCTACTTAGGGGAGTTGGAAAACCCTCATTCCAAACCTATCATGTACATTGGCTCCATGATGCTGAGGGAACTAATGGCATATGAACCAATTATTGTTCACCAGCTACCATGACACTGTATCTCCCTGCGTTGCTTCACTACCTTGTGGATCAGACTTTTAGATCGGAGGCTCTTGTTGTGGCCCCCTAAGAAAACCACCTACTTCGGTTTGGGAAACCGGGCAGTATCATAGCTCAAACACATACCAAGTGACTTGTATGATGTATATGTATTCGATACCCTCTTTTGTACCAATATTTATGTGTTCAAATAAATAAATAATTCGTTCGTTACACCTAAAATGTTAATATTCATGACAGTGATTATTAGTGATTTGTGCATCTACCAGTTCCACTTCCCATGTGGATTAACATATATAGGCCGTAGCCAGTGTTTACTTTCAAATCGAATACTAGAACATATTCCAAGATGGTTTCACAAAAGATGAGAGGAAAGCATTTCAAATCTTCATTCTTAAATATTTTAACCATTCCAATCACTTCACTAATTTATAAATCGACTTAAATGTTTAATTATAGAAATCATTCAAATCTATCAAGATCCCTTCGTAACTAACATCTTAAAACGGGAGAAATCTCTTATTATTCATTAAACGAACGATGAATAGCATAGATACAAAAGAAATACATCCCATTCTTATTCTTACCATGGCGTAAAATTGTTGTTATTATTACTATATTTTATTTCTTTTATTAAGATCACTCTTTATCTCTAGAATTATCTCTTATATCTTCCTGACTGGAAGTACTGGGCGATCGTTTCGTCCTAGTATGAGACACCTCATCAGTGCGTATTCATGATCCCGTTCGCGAGATTCCAACTCAGGGTATATTGGTCTCGTGTACGCAAACAGTTAACCTGTATGCTACTAAGTTGACATCCAATAGTGTCATTGCTCAACTTTAACCAATTTCATTTCTACAATGTTGAGTAGTGACGGAATTCTGCACATGAGATCATTAGGTTCCAATATAGTCGTATTCAACTACATATATCATGAATATCAAGAACATAAGTAGTGTAGTGAACAAGAACATTAATGAGGACAATCAAATATATTTTAATATAACATTACAGAACATCTAAAGGCGAGACAATAATTTATGGACGACCTTTGAGTGACGTTGAAGAGACATTGAGAGTCTCTACTTACTTACTAAAACCGAACGAGAGTTATAAACCTGTGTGTAAGGAATTAGGATTATAATTTACAAGTGATGATTAAGGTTAGGAATTAGATTTAGGGTTGTTTTGTCATCATGAACTGACATCAACTTAAATGCTAAAACTCTATTTAGCCAAATGGATGAATGAATTTCGCGCCAAAATCCTAGAGATCTGTTATCTTACGTCTGATTGATTCGTCCCATTTTCGGTAAAATCTGGAAATTATACAGTAAATTCTTCATTTGCAAAAATATCCATCAATCGTTTCAAACTTGGTTGTTCTTTCGTTTCCACACTAATCATTCACTGTTCTCATTCTGTTTTCTTTAATCGGCGAGACTATAATTTATGGACGAATCATTCAGGTTTAAGATAACAAGTCTCGGCTTTCGGCGCGAGATTCATTCATTTATTTGGTTAAAGCGTACATGGAGGACAACTGACAGATGCATTCCAAGTAAAGACCGGCGTCAGATAAGGCTGTTTACTCTCCGCCTTCCTCTTTCTTCTGGTGGTCGACTGGATTTTGAAAACCTCGACATTTGAGGGAAAACACGGGATACAATAAGCATCTCAGAAACAATTAGACGATTCGGACTTCGCAGATGACCTAGACCTCCTATCCCATACACACGAACAGATGCGCATGAAGACAACTCGTGTAGCAGCAGCCTTTGCATCAGTAGGCCTCAATATACACAAAAGGAAAACCAAGGTCCTCAAATACAACGCGGGGAACACCAATGGTAACACACTTGATGGTGAAACTCCGGAAGATGTAGAATCCTTCAAATACCTAAGAAGCATCATCGATGAACAAGGAGGATCAGACGCAGACGTAAAGGCGAGGATTGTTAAAGCAAAGGCCGCATTCCTACGATTGAAGAATATATGGAACTTAAAAAGACTTTCTGCCAAGCAATATCACAGTCACAAACTTCAATACGAACGCCAAGACAGTTCTACTGTGTGGAGCATAAACTACTACAACTATCATCAAGAATGTACAAGTATTTATAAATAGTTGTCTACGCAAGATAATCAACATTCATTGGCCGGATACCATCAGCAACAGCCTTCTGTGAGTGAGAACAAACCAGCTTCCAGCTGGAGAAGAAATTAGGAAAAGACGATGGAAATGGATAGGATATACATTACGGAAATCGCCAAACTACATCACTAGACAAGCGCTCACTTGTAATCCTGGGGAGAAGCGGAAAAGAGGAAGTCCAAAGAACACATTACGTCGGTAAATAGAGACAGATATGAAAAGGGTAAATAGGAACTGGAAAGAGCTGGAAAGGATTGTCCAGGACAGGGTTGAATGGAAAATGCTGGTGAGCGGCTTTTGCTCCTTCACGAAGAGTAACAGGCGTAAGTAAGTAAGTAAGTAAGTAAGTAAGTAAGTAAGTAAGTAAGTAAGTAAGTAAGTAAGTAAGTAAGTAAGTAAGTAAGTAAGTAAGTAAGTAAGTAAGTAAGTAAGTAAGTAAGTAAGTAAGTAAGTAAGTAAGTAAGTAAGTAAGTAAGTAAGTAAGTAAGTAAGTAAGTAAGTAAGTAAGTAAGTAAGTAAGTAAGTAAGTAAGTAAGTAAGTAAGTAAGTAAGTAAGTAAGTAAGTAAGTAAGTAAGTAGTAAGTAAGTAAGTAAGTAAGTAAGTAAGTAAGTAAGTAAGTAAGTAAGTAAGTAAGTAAGTAAGTAAGTAAGTAAGTAAGTAAGTAAGTAAGTAAGTAAGTAAGTAAGTAAGTAAGTAAGTAAGTAAGTAAGTAAGTAAGTAAGTAAGTAAGTAAGTAAGTAAGTAAGTAAGTAAGTAAGTAAGTAAGTAAGTAAGTAAGTAAGTAAGTAAGTAAGTAAGTAAGTAAGTAAGTAAGTAAGTAAGTAAGTAAGTAAGTAAGTAAGTAAGTAAGTAAGTAAGTAAGTAAGTAAGTAAGTAAGTAAGTAAGTAAGTAAGTAAGTAAGTAAGTAAGTAAGTAAGTAAGTAAGTAAGTAAGTAAGTAAGTAAGTAAGTAAGTAAGTAAGTAAGTAAGTAAGTAAGTAAGTAAGTAAGTAAGTAAGTAAGTAAGTAAGTAAGTAAGTAAGTAAGTAAGTAAGTAAGTAAGTAAGTAAGTAAGTAAGTAAGTAAGTAAGTAAGTAAGTAAGTAAGTAAGTAAGTAAGTAAGTAAGTAAGTAAGTAAGTAAGTAAGTAAGTAAGTAAGTAAGTAAGTAAGTAAGTAAGTAAGTAAGTAAGTAAGTAAGTAAGTAAGTAAGTAAGTAAGTAAGTAAGTAAGTAAGTAAGTAAGTAAGTAAGTAAGTAAGTAAGTAAGTAAGTAAGTAAGTAAGTAAGTAAGTAAGTAAGTAAGTAAGTAAGTAAGTAAGTAAGTAAGTAAGTAAGTAAGTAAGTAAGTAAGTAAGTAAGTAAGTAAGTAAGTAAGTAAGTAGTAAGTAAGTAAGTAAGTAAGTAAGTAAGTAAGTAAGTAAGTAAGTAAGTAAGTAAGTAAGTAAGTAAGTAAGTAAGTAAGTAAGTAAGTAAGTAAGTAAGTAAGTAAGTAAGTAAGTAAGTAAGTAAGTAAGTAAGTAAGTAAGTAAGTAAGTAAGTAAGTAAGTAAGTAAGTAAGTAAGTAAGTAAGTAAGTAAGTAAGTAAGTAAGTAAGTAAGTAAGTAAGTAAGTAAGTAAGTAAGTAAGTAAGTAAGTAAGTAAGTAAGTAAGTAAGTAAGTAAGTAAGTAAGTAAGTAAGTAAGTAAGTAAGTAAGTAAGTAAGTAAGTAAGTAAGTAAGTAAGTAAGTAAGTAAGTAAGTAAGTAAGTAAGTAAGCATTTAAGTATTTTTGACGATGTCAGTTCGTGATGAAAACCCCCTGAATCTAATTCGTAACCTTAATCATCAACTGTAAATTATAACTCTCATTTGATCCTTGTTATTAAGTGGACACATTCAAGATCAGTCTAACGTCGCTCAAAAGTCGCTCAAACGTTGTTCATAAATTATAATCTCACCTATTCATCTTCTTAATCCTCTACTCTGCCAGACATTTCATTTTCGATTAACAATACATACTACTTATATCGATCAACATTAGTAGTACATACTACAAGATAATTTATATATTTCTATTTATATTGTGGATCTGTAGAATGGTTACAGTCGATTAGATGTTCAAGTATGAAACCTCTAACTGCTTTCCTTTCACCCTTATAGAACCAAGCTAGGATATGTTCCCGGTCGCTTTCAACTCGGATACGGGAACATATCTCAACTTGATTCTATATAGGTGAAAGGAAAGCAGTTAGGTGTTATATTTATTACATTTATATAAAAGAGAAACAGTCTTGTTATCTCAATTTTATTTTGTATACAATCAAATGTATATATGTATATATTCATACAATAAGAATAGAATGGGTATTTTTGTTACTATGCTTGATTATATAATCAATTATTTACAATAATAATAAGAATATGAGTAAAATTTAATGAGTTATGTAAGACAAACGAAAAAAAATATACATTTTAAGGTTTCATTTATAATAATAGCGAGGGTAAGAGTGAGTGAGCGAGTGAGGGAGTGGGTGAGTGAGTGGGTGGGTGGCTGAGGGTCAGTGAGTAACAATGTGTGAGTGAGTGAGTGAGTGAGTGAGAGGGGGGGGGAATGGTATATTTTGAAAAGGTTCACCCTGTTTTCTTAAAGTTTTTCTTTTTTTAAAAAAAAAACAGAAAAAAACGAGAGAAAAGAAATGCACAATTATCAAATCTTACAAATACTGATTGAATAGTCATTTATTGTTTCTATATTGATGTTACACAAAACCCCTTCTGATAATAAACAAGTTAACCAATATATATATATAGAAAGAAAATGAAACAATCCAATGCTTATTTATTATGTCATCATCAGAAAGAAGGGGTTTGTGTGTATGTGTGTGTGTATGTGTGGATATGATCATCATTTCAATAGGTAATATGATGAATCTATTGAAACTTGAATAGTTAGTTTGCCCTATTGTTTAATTCTACAATTATAACTTTAGATTAGAAATCTTGTCAATGTACTTTATTTAGAATAAAATCTTCCATTTAATCATCATATGAAACTTTTCTATAATGAATGATCTTATATTCAATGGATCATTGATGATTGATGAATAGAGAATAAAGAATAAAAGAAAAGATGTTACGTCATTGTTGGTGTTTTTCTTTCTTTTTTTTGGTAAGTGTCATCATGATGTTGAATTAGAGGAAGAAATTGAAAATCAAAAACAAAAAAAACGAGAAAAGAAAAAAAAGAAGAAAACTCATACCAAAAATACATTTATCACCTTAGCAACTAACCAAATAAATAAATGAACTAGGCATGAATATCACTAAACGTCATCCAAGAAATGATTAAAGGAAATAAACGGTTACTATGGCATATGTATTATTATTCACTCTTTATTGATTCATTCTATTCAATGGATTTCTATAAATGTCTATATGAAATGTGTATTACATAATTATAATATACTTTTTATATGAATAGATTCAATGAAATATGCAAATATTCAAAAGAGGAGATGAGGAAATTTCATGTATCGTGAAGTTTTGAATGAACCGCCTGAAAATTTTTTAAAATTTATTAAAACAAATATGAGAAAGATATGAAACATTATTTAGAAGAATATATATATATATATATATATATATATATATATGTATATGAATTCCACCTCGAGGACCTCTGGAACTACTGCCAGTCCTAAGCTCAGATAAAAAAGAAGGGGTGGGTTGGGAATGAAGTTAGTGACTCTATCTCATATAGAATACTAACACGCTGTAGAATACGCTAATTCGAAAAATAGATGAATATGAATAATCTATACTCATGATGATGATAATGATGATGATGCTAAAAAGAAATGGTTCGTTATAGAATTCTTTGTTTGTTTGCTTGTTTGTTTACAGATGATTCATTTTGGATGGGTTATTGTTGATTATTTATATAATGATTGTTCTTCTTTTCTTCTTTTTATTCAATTGGATCATCAGCTAATAGCATAGCTTTAAGTTGACTATCTTCCATACATCCTTTCATAAATTCTTCACGTGTTAATACACCATCACCATTTTCATCCATTTTTTCAAATATTTCTTCAGCTCTAGCTTCTGGACTAATATCCACAGCTGTATTATCTGTACCAAGCATTGAATAAATAGCCTGAAATAAAGTAAATCAATAGTATATATGATAGAATGTCAAAATAGAAATGAAAGTACTTTATAATGATTTTGTTCATGAATCATTTATATAAGTATTATTATATCAAACCTCAACGAGGTTATGAAAAAGATGAATAACAACTGGAAAGAGGTGGAAAGGATTGCCCAGGACAGGGTTGAATGGGGAATGCTGGGGAGTGGCCTATACTCCTCCAATGAGGAGTAACAGGCGTAAGGAATTAAGGAAGTAAGTCAACGAGGTTTGATATCAAAAAGCAATAAGAAGCAGTAACTACAGTTTTATTAGAGGATAACACAGCTCATAAAGCGACGAACACATTGAGGGGATTTAAAATAGACAGGGGACTATGTGTATGTACGAACAAATACATAGGCAAACATATCGTCATATCACATAAGGGCATCAGTAAGGCAAAGCAAGGACTAATAATAATGGGATTCGCGTCCCCATGTACTTAGAGAAGAGAATGAATCAACGAGCGATATTTAAAGGATAAACATTTGAACTAGAGTCTATCATATGATCTAGTGATCATAACAATACAAAGAAATATGTGTATTGTCTGTTAAGTAAGTTAACATAAAGGGTTTAACTGAAATGAACCATCATCGAAATGGATTACAGAAGAGTTGCTATCAATTAGATGATATGACTAATCATAAAATTAACCATACCATTCTACAATGTATATTGCCTTGTAGTGATATACACAATACTGGAGATTTCTAGCTTAGTTAAATAGCGATGGAATTGTCTAGTTCCCTAATTTGGATGTTTTAATCCTGGAGCTTTCATTTTCATTATTCTCTGGTAAGTGACATCGTCAGGAATGAAAGTTTCTTTTATAAATTGCCTTTTATATTACTTTTGGAATAAGTAAGAAACTTATTTCGATACAGAATAGGAGCTAATTTCTTTTCCTAATTAGGAATAAGCGCTGGAAGTGGATAGGAGACACATTGAGGAAAGCACACAACTACGTCACAAGACAAGCCCTCACATGGAATCCTGCGGGCCAAAGGAAAAGAGGAAGGCTAAATAACACAGTACGTCGAGAAACGGAGACAGACATGAGAAGAATGAACAACAATTGGATGGGATTAGAAAAGAAGGCCCAGTACAGAGTGGGTTGGAGAATGATTGTCGGCGGCTTATGCTCCATTAGGAGTAACAGGCACAAGTAAGTAAGTAATTTCTTTTCCTGGGATAGAAATGAAAACTCCATGATGAAACGATTTAGCTCAGAAATCTTAACGACCCATATACATATACTGTTGAGGAGTCTCATAATAGGATGAAACGGCCGTTCAGTGCTTTTAGATTTTCCATGGTGGTTTAGCTTCAATTAACTCATGAATTCAACCAAAAAAAATTAGTAAAATCTTCACAAAACCCTCTTCTCATAATAATCATCATGTGCTTACTAGTGACTTGCTTTAAGAGGTATTTTCTGAAGTTCTAGTGAGAAGCAATGATTAGTGGAGTTCAACTAGATCTATTATGAGAAGGTAACTCACGGAAGACAATGGTGGATGGTGGTTCAATTTTGTGGATTGGTTGAAATTAGACATTAACACTGCGAAACTTAAATATGATTGACCACTGAGAGAAGACAAACAGACACTTAACTTGTTCTGGGCTTTATTGTGTGCATAAACTGTTGGTGTTTTTAATTAAAGGAATCTATTGTCCGATCTATGCTTTACCTCTCTTTATTTTTAATCAAAAATCATGAGACTAGTGTAACGTAACCTTCGTCTACGTATAACTAATTAATCAAGTATCCAGTTTAGTGACAGTAAAATCTCCGATACGAATCATATATCCCTCGAGGCGGGATTGTAGATTCGCACTGCTGAAGAGTCCCACAATAGGACGAGTCGAACGTCCAGTGCTTCCAGGTTTTTAATGATAGTCTATCATTAATTGGCTCATGATTTCAATCAAAAAGCAAATCATATAATCGTATTATCTCAGTAAATGGAAGTATTTTCTTCGTTTGTAATTAAACTAACAACCATCATACAATAGGATATACGACAATACTAAGCTAAACTAAACCGTTAAGCTTATAACGTATGTGTAAATGTTTTAGTCATGGTTCATTTATCGAAATATGGCACGGAATAAGGAGTTAAGGTTAAAGGTATTCATCTAGACATGGTATCAGTTATGATGTAAGAATCTTGAAATTCATACCTTGATCATAATTTCTAAAACAAAAAGTTCTAAATTTATCATTACCGTCTTGTAACTGGCTGAACAGATTTAGATCACAATGTTGTTCAGCGATACAATCCATCATTGTCTAGTGAAAACAAAATTTGACAGAAGTAATAAACACAACTAACTCCACCTTGAGCCGCTCTGAGGTTACCACCGGCCATAAGTCCGGGTAAAAGAGGAGGGTTGGGCACGGGGTTAGCGACCACATCCCGTAGGAAACTAACCCGCTAAAAAAACGCTAACCATAAAAATAAATAATTCAAACCATTGAAATTGTGCCCTGGGAATTGGAAGGTCTTCATTCAGAAGAGTTATGATGCCTCTTTGTGAAAGCTGAGTTCCTTCGGTATTCAATAGTCTGATTCCCCTTCTGACAACCAGAGTGACCATTAATTTAGATACATTAAATGTTCGTACAATGTGCAAGACCAGAAGAGTCTTTCAAATTGCTGCAGAATAAACACAAGTTTCCACAGACCCATTAGTTCTTTCAGAAAATAAAACAGAAATATCTTTTCTTAGATCAAACAATAACCATCATGTTAGCCATACCCTAGCACTGTTGATCAATACTTTGACCACTATGGTCTTTAAAAGAGATGAGTATGTGTTGATTTCCATACGAAAATCAATAAAATTGCTATCTCAATGCTAATTGATCTAAAGAGAAAGTCTGGTACGATTTTCCCTTGATATCTTCTAATCAATGGGGAAAGGAGCATTTTGTAAAACCAATCTAATAGAAGACAATGTTGGTTTTAGTTTCCGTAACAGTAACAACCATTGAAATGTATCCTAGGTATAAGGGATAACTTTAAGAAGGAAGATAATCATAATATGAGTTTTCTATTTTTCAGTGGTTAAGATCATAAGTCAGTTGAAGGTAGACCACTATGGAAAACCTGGAAGTACTAGACGGCCGCTTCGTCCTATTGTGGAACTCCTCAGCAGTGCTCATCCACAACATCTCCCCCTGCGAGATTCGAACTCAGAACCTACTGGTTTTGCGAGCGAGCACTTCTTTTAAACTAATTGTACTAATACTTTTAGATGTTGTATTACTTACATTTATTTCACTTTAACTAATCTACTTATTTCACTGATTGTGAATTACTCAAAAGTACACACACACAAACACATACGAACATCCATAACAGATTTACACTTAAATCAAAACTTTAATCATTCAGTCAAAAGATTTCAATCAACATTTTAAACAAATTTCCATGATTTATGTTTGAGGTAGTCAATTCCCCGTTGCCACTGGTTACCGACGATAGTCACTTATGCGAGAGAGAGAGAGAGGGGGGGGCTGAAGATAGAATAGAAACATGAATTCCATAATCGTTTAACTCTATGCAATCTAAGCAAATAGATATCAACCCCTCCTTCTAATCATCTGCAATATAATTTTCAACTCTCTGTATATTTTAATATTGGTTGTTGTTAGTGATTACAATAAAACATATTTGTTGTATCCTGTTATAAGTTGTTAAGAGAGAGAGAGAGAGAGAGAGAGAGGAAGGGAGAAAATTGGAGATTTTTATATGGTACAGTGAATTAATCAACTCACTTATAAGTTTTAGTTGTCATTCAAGAAGCATAGTTTATAACATCCCTATAACTGTATATATATACTTATCAGTTTATTCAGAACAATATCCGGTTCCTGTGAATTCCCATTTATTTTTTTGATATTTTATCCAAGTATTCATTGTACTATTGTATTCTGTTCATTTTATATACATAATATAACAGGAACTTTGGAATATTTGGAAGTTGTTTGGTCAGTAATGATAATTCTCTATGTAGTTAGTTGAAGTTAGACTTTAACACTGTTGGATGCCGGCTCGCGCGCGAAACCAGTAGGTCCTGGGTTCGAATCTCTTAAGGGGTGAGGTCTTGGATGAGCACTGTTGAGGAGCCCCACAATAGGACGAAACGGCCGTCCAGTGCTTCCAGGTTTTCCATGGTAGTCTAGTCTCAACTGACTCATGATCTTAACCATTGAGATATTTTGATTGTAATGAATGATATTTTGTTTATTATATTACGTTAACTACTTGTTAGTAGTGTTGAAATTTCTTTGTAAAAAGTTAAATATGATGGGGTTTTGTTCTATGAACTGGATTATTGATTTATATGTATACATAAATATTGGTACAAAATCGGGCACAGAATACATATACGCCACACAAGTCTCCGGATTTGTGTGTGGGCTGTGATAATGCTCGGGTACCCAGAAAAACGTAGGTGGTTTTCTTAGGAGGACACACTCGAAGCCTTCGACCTAAAGGTCTAATCCATAAGGCAGTGGAGCAATGTCAGAGGAAGGAGTCCCATGGTAGCCTGTGTCCAATCATTGGTTCATACGCCAATTGTTTTCTTAGGATCCTGGAACCCATATTCACCATTGGTTTGGAATCAGGATTTTCCATCACCACTAGGTGAACTCTCCGTATCCACCAGCCCGGTTAAAGCACTAGATATTCACTTTTCGTCCTCTCAATTTCGTAAATAACGATTCTGCATTCAGAAGGCAGTGAATCGGACTTCTGTGGTACTGACTGTATACGTGTGGTCATGTGAAAGCATTTGGTGAAGGACAGCCAACTCTCCCCACTTTCGACTGTACTAGGGCATTTATGGGTTTGAGCTGGCTGGTACCTGGAGGGTAACATAGAGAGAAGTTTGTGCTGGTGCTATCATTCAGAATAATAATAAAAGCTTCACAAACAAGCCGGCTACCATACCATGTTGATAGCACCGGTTCTCGTCCACAACCAAACTATCCAGTTCATAAAACAATACTCTATCAAAATCATCCACCGATGCCTAGTTATAAAACAACTATCAGTACAAAACAATCTAATAACAATAGAAATTATAGATTCTATTTTAATAATTAACACCCACATGTTGAAATTGTCACTTGTAGTGAAAGGAATAAGTTCAATTTACACACATACATGTATACTAGGAGTTGGGCTAGTGTTATGAGTTAGGATTATCATTCCATAGACCTTACATCATCCATCGACATTAGTTTTGATGCAATAAGATTAAAGTCAGGTTTTTATATTAGGGTCAAAGTTTTCAATACAAACCGATACTGGGTATAATGTAATTCTTTGCCAATGAATAGTAACTGTTGGAATCTATTTCTGTACTAATACTGTAGTAAACAAGAACACAACTGGGGACAATTGAATGTATTTAACATGAAATTAGAGAGCATCTCATTGTTTATGCATTTTCATACGAATTGCGTACCGTTTCTATTCTTTCCTTCTTGATCTTCTACTGAAATACTTTGTATGCCTGACCACCACTATATACTACTTATGTGGATATAAGTAACCCACACCATAATACTAAATATATATTTCTATTGTATAATTGTTAAGTAACTAAACTATTCATAATCATGTCTCTCTTATTATAAGCTTTATTTTGATCTACGAACTATTATTAAACGATTTACCATTCTTAAGTTATGCCCAGTCTGTTGATTACTGTCTCCCACATTCACAGCCACGTTTAGCTAGATCTTGTACAAATGTTATTATATTTTAATAGGTGAGATTATGAGTCAATTGAAGCTAGAACACAATAGAAAGCCTGGAAAAACTGGACAGCCGTTTTGTCTTACTATGGAAATTCCTCAATATTGTGTATCCACGAATCCACCTTGAGAGATTCTAACCCAACGTTTATCAATCACGCACGCAAGTGCTTAATCTCTGGACTGCTGAGCTGGCCGACATCCAACGGTGTTAATATCTAATTGACTCATGATTTCAACTATCAAAATTACTACAATATCTAAAAAAAGCCCTTCTAACAAATGTTATTTTCTATTTTATGGTGTAAGGTGATCTGTTTAGTTTGTAATATAAACCCAATATATTTGAAATATATGATTCATATTGTGGAAGTTAAGATTGGTTTTCTAGACTTAACAGGCAGGAAGCAACACCGATAATTACTCTAAACTGTTTGTTATATTTCTCTCTTACGGTTATGACCCAGTTATTCCTATTGCTTAATATTCTTGGATACCAAATCACTCGACAAGTTCCCAAATCAGACCACAGTTGAACAGGAAAGAGACTATATTCCAAACAATAAGGTTAGATGGAAGTAAGAAGCAAGTCAGAAATGCACTAGAGGAAACGTTAGTATATTTACGGTTTTTCACATGAGGAGATTTCTAGAGTGTTCACTAAGTATTGACTAACGCTGATTGGATAAGAATCAGCCAGATGGAAGACAAGAAGCACAATAGGGAAAACGTTAGTATTTTTATAGTATTTACATGAGACGATTCTAGAGTATTCTCCAACTATCGACTAGTGCTGATTGGATAAGAATTAGTCAATCAACGTGCACCAAAGCAATCGTGCATTGAGCATACTTTAATCCAGTTTATGTCCCGCTAACACTGTTCGTACTTGTTTCATGCATTATTGACTCAATCGATAAGCTATTGTTCTCTAATTGAAAATATCATTACATTATACATTGATAGGGAGCACAAACAAGTTATAACATTAGTAAATTAGTCAAGGTGAACAAAACAATAAAAGGTAAATCAGTAGTTCGGATTTTGTTTTCTCTTTTCACATCAACTCATAGGAGACAAGTACATCCAACTGATGAGTCTCAAATAGGACGAAACATACATCAAACTAGATTCCACTATTAGACATCATTATTCATCTTTGCTTTGAAAAAAAAGAGAAGCTTGTCACTCAAGTTTATATCAAATCAATCTGTACAAGAACTTACTCGAATAATTTCAACCATTTCAGTTCGTTCTATAGTACCATTACCATCAATATCATACATTTGATAAGCCCATTCTAATTTCTCTTCTGGATCACCACCTGATGTTATATTAATAGCTAATAAAAATTCTTTAAAATCAATTCGACCAGAATTATCTTTATCGAATGTACGAAATACATGTGTACAAAATTTTTCCGCATTACCATCAGGGAAAAATCCAGAATACACTTCAATAAATTTCTTTTTACTTAATTGACCTGATGGACAATCACGCTGTGAAAGATAAAGAAAGAAAGAAAAGTAATCAAAACAACAATAACAACAACAACAATGATGTGACTATACATGATATGAGTGTTGTTAAAGGTATAATGATGTTGTCTATCATTTCTTGGTTGTTTACACTGTGGAAGAGTTCTTCTGAAGGTGTTGTATTGATTATAAGCAATTCTAAGTTGTATTTTTTCATTTCTACAGCAATTTGAATGATTCCCTTAATCTTCTACATTGTACAAACATTCCATGTAGTTAAATTAAAATGGTTGCTCTGGTTGTCAGAATAGGAATCAAACTCGTGAATTCCTAAGGAACTCGGCTTTCAACATGAGGCATCATAACTCTTCTAATTCCCAAGGCAGAGTTTTAATAGTTTGAATTATTTATTTTTCTGGTTAGCGTTTTTTTGGCGAGTTAGTTTTCTACAGGATGGGGTGGCTAACCACATGTCCAACCCTCTTACTTTATTGGGAACTTGGACCGATAGTAGCCACAGAGGGGCTCAAGGTGGAGTTCGTATACACACACACATATATATATATCACTGTTAACCCAAATCCCTACTTTTTAATGATTATACAGGAGAACCATCTCATGGTAATCGAATTGATTCAAATTTGATCCTTAGTTCGTATACTTATCAGTAAGAATCATGAATTAACAACAGTTTTTATTGATTTTTTTTTCGGTAGAATAAGATAAATAACTCAGGTTGAATATTGAGCAATTACATTCAAAGTTAAGAAACGACAAAAATCCCATTAGATCTTGCTCAACTACAGAAAAAACAACCCAGAAGCGAGACTATAATTTATGGACGAACTAATCAGGTATAAGAAAACAGATCTTGCATTTTGGCACGAAATTCATTCATTCATTTGGTTAAATAGCATTTTGCCCTTATAGCTGATGTAGGCTGGACAACAAAGACTAGCTTCAGGGGAGGTGCTGTTATACTCCTAAGTATATATATATACTGAACCTATCGGGAATAGTAATCTCTCTGATGGACTCCCTAATATTTAGAAGCACAATGGATAATACTTTCTGACGTTTGAGTCCCAGTATGAATACTAACAATGAAGTATGCCGGATCTATTCAAGTAATGAGTCTTGAAAAGGACATAACATACATGGTACATTCCATTGATAATCATAATCTATCTATTATAACTGAACAAAAATTAGTTTCAGAGTATACGAACTGAATAAAATAATTTTTGATAAAATTTATATCAGATAATTAGATACAAATAGTTGTTTTTTCATTAGTAATCTCATTAATTATATTACTATGATATGTGCTACTGATATCAACAGTTCTAAGTAGTATATATCATCAATTGAAAGTGAAATGTCTAACGTTAGAATGTTAAGAAGATTTAAGAATAGTGAATGAGAACAGAGAAATTATTGGCATGGAAATGAAAGAACAACGAAAGTCTGAGACTGGATGGTTCTTAGATTTTACTAAAAGATTATGTACAGGTATTTATAAATAGTTGTCTACGCAAGATAATCAACATCCATTGGCCGGATATCAATCAACAACAGCCTTCTGTGGGAGAGAACAAATCAGCTTCCAACTGAAGAAGAAATTAGGAAAAGACTGTGCAAATGAATAGGACATACATTATGCAAATCACCAAACTACATCACTAGACAAGCGCTTACTTGGAATCCTGAAGGGAAGCGGAAAAGAGGAAGGCCAAAGAAAACATAACGTCGGGAAATAGATGCAGATATGAAAAGGATGAATAACTGGAAAGAGCTGGAAAGGATTGCTCAGGACGGGGTTGGATGGAGAATGCTGGTGGGCGGCGTTAACCCCCTCTACGAGAAGTAACAGGCGCAAATAAGTAAGTAACGTAATTTTTGGTGATGAAATATATTTGGTTGTCCCTCAATTGTGTTCTTGTTCATAATATTACCAGCATATTAGTAAATAAACAAGATTCCCCAAGAGAATATATTTATTTGTTATTTTGGTTATTATAATCGTAAACAATCTATGTATATCAGAAGGGATTTTGTGGAGATTGTAGTAATTTCAATAGTTGAGATTATGAGTCAATCGAAGCTAGACCATCATGGAAAACCTGAAAGCACTGGTAAGGAGTCCTACAATAGGACGAAATGGCCTTCCAGTGCTTCCAGGTTTTCTATGGTGGTCTAGCTTCAATTGACTGATGATCTCAACTATTGAAATGTATGTATAGTTTATTAAACTGTTTATCAACTTACTTCTTATATTAGTAGTTAAGTCTTGTTTAGCATCAATAAATGATCAATAATATAATGTAAGAACTGACCTACTATGAATTGAGCTGTAAAGTCTCTATCTTAATTTTGTTGTTCAGATAAATTCTAATGAAGTTAATCTAGGAAAACTCTCTTTGTAGACTATTGTAGGAATAGATGAAACACTGGAGCACATATATCCACACTTGGTATTCTCTCAAATTCTAATATTCTGAATTCGTTATGTCCCTTCTCAAATTTATTACATTGGAATGTACTCCTCGAATAACATCTTTAAACCCTAATGTTTCCGATTACTGCTTATAATTTTACTATCTCTGCTACTATGAGATTTGAATGGACAATTGTATCTCTGTGCTAATATGATATGACAACTTAAACTGATGTACGTATATGCGAAGTCCTACGTTGATGCTGACTAACTGACTGAGATAACTGAACAAAAAATAATACGCTGAGAGGTTCCATACTAGGACAAAAAGGCCGTTCACTGCTTCCAGGTTTTGAATGGTGGTCTTGAGTGCTGTACGAGATATGAAGGTGTTTATCACTTCCCAGCTGCTTACACCGTGGAAGGCTATTCCTGGAGGTACCTGAAAAGAAAATTGGATTAAAGATGGTCTTGGTGACTCTGGATCGTAACTGCAGTGCCTAAGAGACAATTGCTTGAGGTCAGTCACACACGCCATTTTTGTAGGTAATCTTCGTGTTAGCTCCATAATTGTTGAGACCTTACCACCGAAGACGGAAATCCATGGGATAAGGTGAGGAGAGTATTTTTACGGTCGACCTTTTTGAACTCAACCACTCCTTGTGGGGAGGCAGCATCACTGTTATTCTGGTTGTCTGAAGGAAACAGCTTACTGCCGTCAAACCTCTGTAAAGTCAGCAGTACAACTTCGTATTCGAAATTTGGGTTTGTTACTTTTAGTCTTATCGTTCTTTAACCGACCTATCTGGCATGGTAAGACCTTGAGGAACAATTGTTCCAGCCGATATAGCTCGATTGGTTCATCACGATAGACAAGCTCGACCATCACGTCAAAGTAGCAACAAAGGTCGGTCTAGCTTAAATCGACTCATGAATTCAACTATTATATATATATTGATCTTCAACTGTCACACGATCATATCTGTTGCTATAGAGTTTTGTCTTTCATAGAGGATAGAGAAACCCTCTTCAATATCCCTACTTTTCCCTTACATTTGATCTCGCTCTGTTATTCATAAGTGTTTTATATTTGTTTACAAACCTAATCTGTCTGGTTGATATACATTGTATTATATGACATAATAAGAATCGCTCAGTCGTTTGGAATTTGGCATTATTGTAGGCTAATCACTAGGTTAGTGAATGTGAACACAAGTGCGGACATAAAATCAAGCATAAATTTACAGAATCTCTTAGTAATATTTGAGAACCATACAGTGAATACTTCATTTGCAAAATGTCTATCAATCGTGTCAAACTTGACTGTTCCATTTGTAAATATCAGTCCATCGTCTCAGAATTCATTATTTCTGGTATTTCCATACCAGTTGCTATCTGTTCTTATTCTTTCCTCCTTCATCTTCTTAAGCTTCTGTTGCCAGATATTTCATTCATGACTAGTGTTATATACTACTTATGTCGATATAAGTAGTATACACCACACTAGTAATACATATGAAAGTACTTTCATACACATAGTTGGCTAGACACTATCAGTAACACCCTGCTGTGGGAGAGAACAAACCAGATCTCAGTTGAGGAAGAAATCTGGAAGAAGCTCTGGAAGTGAATAGGACACACATTGAGGAAAGCATCCAACTATGTCACAAGGCAAGGCCAAAAGAGAAGAGGAAGAAGAACAAAGAACACATTACTTCGAGAAATGAAGATCGACATGCGAAAAATGAACATCAATTGGACAGAGTGTGTTGGAGAATGCTAGTCGACAGCCTATACTCCATTGAGAGTAACAGGCCTAGGTAAGTAAGTAAGTAAGTAAGTAAGTAAGTTAGTAACCATAGTAAAAATGATTACTATTAAGTAAATTACTTAAAAAGAACTCAATATTTTATTCCATATTTAATGGTTTATAAACTGTTACACATTAAAAATTAAACATTAAACTTCCCCCCCCCTCACCCTCAGTTTTTTTATTGTTTCTAAAAATAGTATGGTAAAAACTGAGATACTGAAACTGAGTACTACTACTACCAATACTACTACTACTACTACTACTACTACTACTACTACTAATAATAATAATAATAATAATAATAATAATAATAATAATAATAATAATAATAATAACGCTTTGATTCTTTCCTATTCCACTCAATCTAATATTCTATTGCTAACTCTGTATACATTAGGCATAGGGTAATATCTACTCTTTCCTACTTGTTTCATTCAACATCAATTCATGCAATTTAAGTATCCATGATTGTCTGTATATGTGTATCCATGTAGAAGTAGTTATGTATGTATGTATGTATGTGTGTGTCTCTGTGTGTGGATATGTATGGGGATATAAGATTTCAATCAGTAGGGTTAGGTATATTGTAATATGTAATAATAAAAAAAATGCCAAATTCTTTTTTTTTCTGTTTTTTTTATACAGTAACTTGTCCACCGGAAATGGTTGTTACTACTCTCACTATATACATACATATATATATGTATATATAGTAAGATTTAATTACTTACTACTTAAATAAAGTACATAAAGTAGTATATCCAAGTGACATAAATAATAAAAAAAAATAAACAACATTAATGGATGAAATATATTGTATCTCAGCAACAACAACAACAAGAAAAATCGATAAAACGTATAAAATTTAGGGGGAAATTTTGTATTCTATCCTACTCAGTAACTAATCTACTCAATTAGTTATTCATTATAATAATTAAAAAAATTCCACTTAAGTTGTTTTTTTATATTTTTTTTAATGAATAATAATCAATAATTAGATAGATAAATAAATAAGGAAATGATTCAATGAACAGATTAGTTAATTGATTGATAGAAGATTGTTCATATGTAAAGGGACTAACTATCTTGTTGTTGTTGTTGCTGTGGTGGTGGTGGTGGTTGTTGTTGTTGTTGTTCATGAAATCAACCATAAAATGTCATATGATTTGAAGTATTTATGATTATTATCTTTTATCTTTTTTTTTGTTTTGTTTTACCGACTAAGTTGACTGTTGTTAAGGGATATTGTTTTATGATTGAAATCAAAAAGAAAAAAGAAAAAAAATGGTAATATAATTGTGTCACCTGACAACATACGCCCTTCATTGGAGGTGAGGGAATGAGTTGGGGTAAAGAAGAAGTAAACAGTTATTTTTCTAATAGTATATAATTAAATAATGTCTATGGTTAAATTTATTTGGTTTTGTTTTACTTGTGTTTCTCATTGTTATTTAGGATTTGGTATATATGCATCTTATTAGCTTTATGGCTATATGGCTATATAGAGCTGTAGGTCTCATATGAGGCTGAAGGTTCTCCATTGTTATTGTGGACGGTTCGGTATTACTTTGGCAAGTTTTGCTGACTGTTCATGCGCAAAATTGGTTTGCTAGTTAACCGATTTCATTCATACTGGTGGTTGCTTTTCAGTGTTCCCGAGGGCCATTGTCATTGGGACATTGTAAGGCATACCGCCATTGCTAACATTAACGAGTTTAACTGTCGTGAAAGCGGAATAGGTCAACTTTGGCCTGTTCGTACTGTGCATAATTGATTCACGCGATCATTGATCGGAATAACTATACATGTGATGTGAGTGTGTATATGAATGGTGCGAATGGTCCACCAGGGTGTTTGGTACCTGTGTGGTTGCGCCACAGGATTGAGCTGTATTATTCAGATTGTAGTGTTAAAGCCTGTACGGTGTCTGGTTCCTCTGCTAAACGGGGTTGAGCTGCACTGTTTGGGTTTTTACGTGAAAGTCCGGATGGTGTCTGGTTCTCCTGAAAACCAATGTAAAATTACCCTGGCCCACAAGGGTATATTATATAACTGTGAACAAACTAGTTGATCCTGCCAGTAGTCATATGCTTGTCTCAGAGATTAAGCCATGCATGTCTAAGTACATACCTTAAAACGGTGAAACCGCGAATGGCTCATTAAATCAGCTATGGTTCCTTAGATCGTAAATACTACATGGATAACTGTAGTAATTCTAGAGCTAATACATGCCTTGAATATATGCATCTTGTGCAGATTGTTTCGATATAGCCTTAAGTCACAAGGTTTTTTAAGCAAAGATGGATAGTGGCTAGTAGTGAAATCCAGGACATGCGTTTCGTCATATTTGAGACTAGTCAGCTGGATGTACCTATACCATAGAGTTGATGTTCACTATGAGACTCGAACCCAGTACTGTCTGTGTTTATTATTAGTCAATTACGGAATAGGAATGTAGTACTGTTGTTAAAAGATTGATGTAAAACACAGAAAAGAACACACATGCATTGTTTCCTAGTATCTAATCTCCTGGTATGAATGAATAGGTTGACATTATGTTCTATTTAAACAAGTTGAATAGTCATTAGAAATGAAATCCAGAAATTAATTAGGGTTTTGTCAGTTAAATGTATTTATCTCTTTAAAAATTAAAAGAACTTGGCAACCTACTTGAATATCTAGGCTATATATTCCTACCATCTAGATCTTTCAATCAGTTTACTGTTTCCTTATTTGTCTTAATAGATCATTATGTCAATCAATCGTATAACCTATTATGGTTTGTTTCTAAAATGTATACAACTTCTCATTGTTGAAATTATAATAGTGCCCAATCACAGATATTATGGTTACTAGTAATGTGGAACGAAAAGAATGTACATTATTTAGATATTGATTGACTGAACTGCTAACATCTAAACTAATAATCAATCAATATTTATCATTAGGATCAATCAAGAAGTACAAAATGAAAACTCTCTGAAGTATTATATATTGACTCATGATCTCAACTGTTGAAATTACTACAAACTCTATAAAACCCCTCCTGATACTAATCAACATATGCTAACTAGTGACTGGCTTCAAGAGATATATCCTAGAGTTCTAGTGAGAAGCAGTGACCAGTGGATTTCAACCTGGTCTGTTGTGAGACAGTAACTCACTGAAGACACTGATGGATGTGTCGCTCAATTTCATGGATTAGTTGAAATTAGATATTAACACCGTTGGATACTGGCTTAGTGGTCTAGTTGGTTAGGCGCCTGGCGCGAGACTGATAGGTCCTGGGCTCGAATCCTGCGAGGCGGGGTCGTGGGTGCGCACTACTGAGGAGTCCCACAATAGGAAGAAACGGCCCATCCAGTGGTTCCAGGCTTTCCATGGTGGTCTACCTTCAATTGACTCATGACCTCAACTGTTGAAATTACTACAATCTCCATAAAACCCCTTCTGATTCTTGTGAGGAAAGCCTACAGGTGAACTTGAGGAAGCTTTAAGAAGCTCAGAAATAACCAAAAATACTTCATCCAAACGTCTTTTAAAAGAATATTCCCTATTGAACAAATGTTAATAGTGGATTAGAGGACTATAATGATGATTCGGTTCTTCCTGTTCCATACTTAAGAGAAGGATCCTAGCATTCAATTACTGAAGTTTTATCAAATAATCTAAGCTCTAAATATAATAATTCCAAACATATATTACTGAATTAAGGCCCCCAAATGCCCTGGTACGGCCGAGAGTGAGGTGGGCATGCCTCCCTTCTCGAAATGCTCTCACACGGCCACGCGTATACAGCCTCTGCCAGGGAAGTCCTATTCATTGCTTTCTCGTGGCGAGGGTGTTGTTTACGAAATTGAGAGGGCAAAAAGCGAATGCCCGGCTCATTAACCATATCCCAAACCAATGATGCACATGGGTTCCAGTATCCTGAAGGAACAAATGGCGTATGAACCAATTGTTGGTCACCGGTTACCATGTGAGTACGTCTCCTCACGATGCTCCACTGTCTTCTGGATCAGACCTTTAGGTCAAAGGCTTGGGGTGTGGCCCCCTAAGAAAACCATCTGCTTCGGTTTGGGAACCCGGGCAGTATCACAGCCCATCCACAAATATAATGAACTGAATAAAGCCATAATAATAATAATAGTAGTATATAAACACTTACTATAAATCCATTATACCATTGTTTAATTTGTCGTTTAGTAAAATGTGTATTCTCTTTAAGAAATGTTAAATCTTCTCTTGATAATTTTTTTCTTGGTCCAACAAAATTTCCCATAATTTTGATTTAATAAAACAATCTATTCAAATAAAAGAAAAAAAGAAGAAGAAAAAGATCATTGAAAGGATACATTTCATTTATGTAAACAAAAGAAATAAGCGGTAAGATTCTTGTTTATGAATGAACCAATTAGATTTAAGATAATATGTCTTGAATTTTGAGCGCGAAATTCATTTAGTTAAATAATGATTGAGACTATAATATATGGATAACCTTTGAGCGATGATAAAATAACGTTCAGGGTGTTTATCTAATAATTAGGATCAAATAAAGATAATGGCAGTGAATCATGGCCGGTAAGAGTAGAGGATATTCGTAGGTTACTAGTATTTGATCATAGGTGTCTTCGAAGCATTGCTCGTATATCATGGGACCACCGAATAAGTAATACAGTTGTTTGGAAACGGGTACTAGGTAAGGATGGCAAATCCATTGATGAAGTAGTGAAACTTGATCAGTTGAGATGACTGGGACACGTGTTACGTATGCCCAACCACCGACTGCACCGACGTGCGATGTTCAATGGTATAGGAGTAGGTTGGAAGAAAGCTAGTGGTGGCCAGACCAAAACATGGCACAAATTTATGAAGTCATTGACAAGTGGATTGAGCCATGTTGGTAGGTGTAGACTACCTGGTTGGAGACCGCGAGATGATAGCAACCGATGGTTAGAGACCCTGGATGACATGGCTCAAAATCGTTTGCAATGACACAGGTGCATACACTCTTTGTGTCCTCCCAAATTCTAATCTTCCGTATTCTTTATGTCCCTTCTCTTTTCCTCTTTCCAAATTTATTTCACTGTATTATACTCCTTGAATAACATCTTCAAACCCTAATTTTTCTGATTACTGCTTATACTCTTGCTACCTCTACCACTACGGGATTTGAATCGACAACTGCATCTCTGTGTTAAGGTGGTGTGGCAACTCGAACTGATGTACGTACGTACGAAGTTCTACGTTGTTAATCACTGACTGACTGTATATTTGATGGTTAAGGTTAGGAATTACATTTAGGGTTTTCATCATAAAATGAGATTATCTTAAATGTCAAGACGCTATTTAGCCAAACTAATGAATGAATACTAAGCCAAAATCCGAGACCTGTTATCTTATACGTAATTGGTTCGTCCAATAAATTATAGTTATGCCATTGGCATTGTAGCTAATATCAGTTCGAGATGAGTCTAATTCTTAACCATTAACCGTTAGTTTATAACCCTCATTTAATCCTAATATGTAGATGGACATTCTCAAGATCATTCTAGCGTCACTCGAAGGTCCTCCATAAAGTGTAGTCTCATCGGGATATTGGGCATTTACATTGTTTCAGTATGAAATTCAAGAGTGACAAATACACACATACACAAACAAACACACATAATACACAGGTCAGATCACTGTAAATATCATTCATAAATTAAATCTATCTCCGTTATCATCTTTCGAGAAAAAAACTATATTCGTGTATTCAATAGAAGCTTCTCAGGTTCTAATGGGGGGTCATAAATGGTACAGTTTAGTTGTGCGAGAAATGAAATAGCCATCATCAGTAAAACTGGATAAAGGATGAGTTAGATTGTAAATCATTTGAATTTTAGGAGCTCTCAAGTGCCTTGGTACGGCTGAGAGTAGGGAGAGTAAGGTCTCCCTTGACAAATGCTCTCAAATGCCCACGTGCATACAACCACTATCAAGAGAGTCCTGCTCACTGCATTAGTGTTGATTACAAAATTGAGGAGACAAAAAGCGAATGTCCGGCGCTTTAACCGGGTTGGTGGATATGGAGGTTCCACCTAGAAGAGTTGCAAAACCCTCAATCTAAACCAATGGTACACAACGGCTCCACGATCCTGATGGGACAAAAGGAGTATGAATCTATTGTTGGTCACCGAATACCATGTGGATGTACCTCCTTATGTTGCTCTACTGCCTTTTAGATTAGACGTTTAGGTCGAAGGCTTCGAGTGTGACTACCTAAGAAAACCAGTTACTTTGGTTTGAGCACTCGGTCAGTATCCCACCCTCACAAAAAATCGAATGATTTATGTGGCACATATCTATTTAGTACCTTCTTTTAGTAATGTTTGTGTGTTTGAATAAATAAACAAATAAATAGAAGCGCATACTATTGAATTTCAGCTTTATAGCCTAGATTTTAAAAAGTCATTACGTGATATGAACATTCTAGGTTCGACCAATGATTAAGTTTTGAATGTGTACTGATGAGGACTTTTACATTGAGGTCAAACCTGTCTGCACTGCTTTCTGGTTTTAAATGGGTCTTTAGATTCATTTCATCCTTGGTGAATACAAAATCTAATATAAATGAATCATTACTAAATTCCACCTATCAATATAAGTAATCCTTGATATCTGTATTTCAATCAACTTCTAGATTTATTTACTTGGATTACTTTTCATGGTTAGCGTTTTTTTGTAGTGAGTTAGTTTTCTATGAGATGGGTTTGCTAACTTCATGTGCCTAACAGTTCTCTTTCATCCAGGCTTGAGACCGACAGTAACCTCAGACGGTTTCCATGCAGAGTTTTTCAGATTAATAAATGCACTCATATATTCATATTTTGTGTTAAAAGGTACTGAATATTAAATTAGTAATGTGATGTGTGCTACTGATATTGACAGATATAAGTAGTAGTCGAAAGTGAAATACCTGGAGGCAGAAAGTTAAGAAAATCAAAGAAAAGAGAACGACAATAGAGAGTGGTTGATGTGGAAACAAAACAACAATGAAGTATGAGATAATTGAATGACATTACTAGATGGTTCTCATATTTTACTAAGAGATTCTGTAATTTTGTCCCCCCCCTCCTGATTTGTGTTCTCATTCACTACAATAGTAAGGCTTTTGAATAAATATTCATCACAAAACTAGAATTTTCTAGGTTCAGTCCTTAGGCAGGGTTTTACTTCTGTGTACTTCTGTGGTGACCTATACTAGAGTAAAACACCTAATCTCAATGCTTGATGGTTTTGGATGGCCTCTCAACTGAAATCAATCTATAACAAACATAATTTACAGATTAAATTAATCGATACAGAAACTACTTAATAAAAGATTTCAGTAGACATAATAATCACAAGGCAATACTTCCCTTTATTAAGATTTTGGCTACCATTTCCTTGAATTAAATAAATACTATTCCAATATTTGTTGATGGGGAGGTGGAGAAGTATGGGGGTGGGGTGGAAATGACAACTAAATTAACCATAAAGTACCATAAAATAACAATCTATCATTGTCTAATTCATTTCCTTTTAAACATTGATATCATTTATACATAATATACTATGAGTTATTTCTTATATCTCTTAGGTGTTCTATTCTATATAATTAAGGTTATAACTTTTAATAACATAACTCCGCCTGTAGCTCTTTTAGAGTTACTGCCGGTTCCAAACTCCGGGTAAGGGAGGAGGAGGGTTCGGCCTGGTGTTAGCGACCTCATCCTGTAGGAAACTATCTCGCTAAAACAAAGGCTAACCAGAAAAAAATAATTCTGTCAACTTTTACTAACATAGAAATCATTAGCAATAATAGTTATTGTTCTAGAAATTAGACCGGAAATATTAATTACATTTGATTCACTTTATTATGTAATATGAAATTACATTGATTAATTGTATATACATATATATATGTGTTGTTGTTGTTGTTTTATTGATATGTTATTGATTTAGAAAAAGCTTTTGTCTGAGAATCTCGCTCGCAGGATTCGAACCCAGCGTGTTCGGTCTCCAGTGTAGATAGGAGGACATTATGGAAACTTCTTCGACACTATGGAGTTCTTGAGAAGATTATCCACATTATCCGGAACTCATAAGACGGACTACACTGCAAGGTCGTGCATGGAGGACAACTGATAGATGCATTTCAAGTAAGGACCGGAGTCAGATAAGGCTGTCTACTCTCTCCCTTGGTCTTTCTTCTGGTGGTCCACTGGATTATGAAAACTGTGACATCTGAGGGAAAACACGGGATACAATAAGCATCTCAGAAACAATTAGACGATTTGGACTTCGCAGATGACCTAGACCTCCTATCCCATACACACGAACAGATGCGCATGAAGACAACTCGTGTAGCAGCAGCCTTGGCATCAGTAGGCCTCAATATACACAAAAGGAAAACCAAGGTCCTCAAATACAACGCGGGGAACACCAATGGTAACACACTTGATGGTGAAACTCCGGAAGATGTAGAATCCTTCACATACCTGGGAAGCATCATCAATGAACAAGGAGGATCAGACGCAGACGTAAAGGCGAGGATTGTTAAAGCAAAGGCCGCATTCCTACGATTGAAGAATATATGGAACTTAAAAAGACTTTCTGCCAAGCAATATCACAGTCACAAACTTCAATACGAACGCCAAGACAGTTCTACTGTGTGGAGCATAAACTACTACAACTATCATCAAGAATGTACAAGTATTTATAAATAGTTGTCTACGCAAGATAATCAACATTCATTGGCCGGATACCATCAGCAACAGCCTTCTGTGAGTGAGAACAAACCAGCTTCCAGCTGGAGAAGAAATTAGGAAAAGACGATGGAAATGGATAGGATATACATTACGGAAATCGCCAAACTACATCACTAGACAAGCGCTCACTTGTAATCCTTGGGAGAAGCGGAAAAGAGGAAGTCCAAAGAACACATTACGTCGGTAAATAGAGACAGATATGAAAAGGGTGAATAGGAACTGGAAAGAGCTGGAAAGGATTGTCCAGGACAGGGTTGAATGGAAAATGCTGGTGAGCGGCTTTTGCTCCTTCACGAAGAGTAACAGGCGTAATTAAGTAAGTTAGTGTTTGGTCTCATATACGAACCCTTAATCTTTAGACCATTCAGTTGATATACAACGGTGTTAATGTCTAACCTCAACTAATCCACGAAATTGAACACCTTTTACATTGTACTAAGATAGATACCTGTCTCTACCTGATATGGATTAATTTACTGGTTATGAT